TTATACCTTCGAACCAAGCCTATCCTTTAGAGATCGTTTTTGTCCCGTTTTGATTAAGGGGTACAGCCTAGACACAAAAACACCTATATGAGTGGGAGTTATTTGCTCCCCGTCACGCTCTAATTATGTAGGTTTTTTACGCCTCCATCAACACAATATAGATAATTCAAAAGGCGGGCGTAGACTGCTTCGTGGTCAATCCGGACTGAGAGAGACAAAGAAAGTCCCAGCAGAAACACCACATACTCGTTAAAAATTATCTCTACAACGGCGTATCGCTTGACTACTACACACAGGCGCCAGTTATCACTCTCTGAACCGAGAAGAATGGCACTGGTCCAGTGGCGGGGCGTCATTGGTGCAATTGGTGCAAGCGCTCCACCTAACCCTGGCCTTCCTTCACCCCTCCCCCTTTTCTAATTATTCTAAACCAGTCAGTACAGTCAGTGCTCTAGATCTACATAGGCCTACAAGTACTATGCCTAGCCTACATCTTTGCGATCCGTCACCCGCTGGCTGCGCGCGCGCCAGTGAAGAGACAGACAGCGAGGAGGGTTTATGCTCGTCGCATCACTTGCGGTCGTGTCTGCTGGGAGCAAGCAAAATCTTTGCACCAAAGTTATTTTTGTCACTGTAGAGAAATCTAGGCATCGCTCTACCCGCACAAGAAGAAAGGTGCGTGAAACTCCTCTTTGCAGCACCAATTTGGTGTAAGCTAAAAATTTGATCCAAGTTTCCGCTAGGCTAGCATCTTATACTACACTAGAGTCTACGGTAACTCAATATGAGAAATGAGTATTGAAACTGTTGACTCCCTCTATTATGTAGCAGGTCATGTTAAGGAAAGTTACGGTGAATTTTCAAATGAGTCTGGTTGTTGGTGCTGCACGAAGTAGATCTAATTAGAAATCTTTAAATCTTCTCAGATTATGAGCCTAGTGAGTTGTTAGTATTGTTTCACTTTATTGTAGTTTTTATGCGGTTTCATCTAGAAACAGTTGTAAATATCGAAAGATGTAGATTACGGGGTATCTTGCAGATTCTAACTGACTTTCTCTAGAAATCTAGATGAATCACGTTAACGCTTTGCTTCTTGTGCCATTCAGCAGGCTACAGTTAGAAGAGAAAGTGCGCATAAAAGAGCTTGGTCCTCATTAGCCGCGGGATTTTGAGTTCAAGAATAATGTTCGCTCTTTTTCCTGTACGTAGTATGATAAGTATGAATGGCTTACGCTGAGTTTGTCCAAAAAGAAATTGTACTGTTTCCATTGTCTGCTTTTTACTGATCGATCAGACACTGACAAGGATTGATCGTCAATCACACTCACTGTCTCTTTGCCTATCTCTCTCTCTCTCTCTCTCTCTCTCTCTCTCTCTCTCTCTCTCTCTCTCTCACACACACGTTATGTATGTATATATATGATAATTTTTCTCTCCCTCCCCCCCCCACACAAGCTAAATCAGAAAGAAGACTAAATAATGCTCCCGTACACAAAGCCTTGCTTGCTGTGTAAGCAAACCAATAGTCCTTGCCTAACAAGCCCCTCAATGAAAGGTGAACATTCAGGAAAACTGGACCGTCTTATATTATGTGAGGCAGCGTGGTGAAATCAGGCGCTCGTCAAAACTGTGAACGCAAACAAACAGGCATTTTTCTGGGCTTTGGGAAATAAAAAGAAAGAATTAAGCTTTCCTCTCAACACCTTTTATGTCTTTCTAAAAACATATTTATTTCTGTGTGAATTTTTATCAAAAAATATTCATTAAAGGCACACAAAAAAATGTAAAGCTCCAATTTCCAAAGACACTCAAGCTTTTGGCGTCACAAACTTTGGCTGCCATTTTCTCGCAATTTATTTTCTTTCATATCAGCCGACCTCCACCTTCTTCAATCGCAAATATCTCGAATTCTGTTCGAAATAGTTTCGTATTCTTTTCGCCAAATAAACAAGCTTTAATGTAAGAGGTAAGTCGTGTTTTACTATCGTATCCTCACGACGTGGGGAACTCTGTGCCACCACTTAACCCTATCCGTACTTCGTGTTTTACTATCGTATCCATACAACGTGGGGAACTCTGTGCCACCACTTAATCCTATCCGTACGTCGTGTTTTACTATCGTATCCATACAACGTGGGGAACTCTGTGCCACCACTTAACCCTATCCGTACGTCGTGTTTTACTATCGTATCCATACGACGTGGAGAACTCTGTGCCACCACTTAACCCTATCCGTACGTCGTGTTTTACTATCGTATCCATACGACGTGGGGAATTCTGTGCCACAACTTAACCCTATCCGTACCTCGTGTTTTACTATCGTATCCGTACGACGTGGGGAACTCTGTGCCACCACTTTCCAAAGAGGAAATTTGCTCGTCGATCCGATCCGTAAGCTTTGCATAGCAGTCTGCCAAAATGATTTTTTGAGAAGTACTGAAAGTTTCAAAGAGATCTTCGTACTAGAAGTATTCTAAAATGTGAAGAATACAACTCCGGGGGTACAAAATTACACAGGGATAGAGTTAAGGACCAGCAAGCTAACCCAGATTTCGGGGGTTTCCAGAAACCTTGACCTACATCAAAAGTGGGCATGTCCCAACCTATAGGAGAAGTTTGGTTTCATTGGCATGTATATTTGTTTGGTTATAGAGAAAACTCTCCTTGTCTTTCAAAGAAACTGAACAAGGGGCAAAAAGTTTACCTTCGATAATCTCAAAACAGCATTTTTCGGGATAGCCCACTTGTGCTTAAAAGCAACCAATTACAACGATGATTATAGGGTGACTAGTGGGTGGTTGGCGGGTGCACTGGTGTGATTTGCTTCTTCTTTCCTACCCGACTTTAGTTCTTGAATGGCTGTTTACATAGGGAATAGGAGAACGTAGCCTCTGCGAGTCAGCAAATGTTGACTTTCGTTGACCTCATCACAAACTCTTAGATTTTAGTAAGAGTTTTACGGCACTTGCAACACAATAAGATCGTAATAATAATAATATACGTGTCGAAGATTAGAGGTGTTACAGGAGAGTAACAAACACAAAAAAGAAGGAGGGGAGATAAGGACGATAGATGTTTGGAAGGAAAGATGGAGCAAACCACAATAGAGCACACGCCAACCATCTACAATGACCAGAGAAAAAAGATTTCAGGTGAAAAGAATTCAGGCTCTGTTGATTTGGATCTAGAAAAACAAGATATGTGCGAGTATACATGAAAGGAAAACGATAAGATAAGATAAGATAAGACAAGATAAGATATGATATAAGACAAGATATGGACCACGTCCATACACACACACACACACACACACACACACACACACACACACACACACACACACATACACACACGCGTACACACACACACACACACACACACACACACACACACAAGCTCTAAAGTTCAGTACCACTATGACATGCATAAATTATAAAAGGAACCCAAAAACTGACAGATATCTTAGATATAGAGTTCCAGCATTTTAAATATACTTTCCTGAAAAACATCGTCTTCAACTAGGATTTAAATTGATCTATTAAAGGAGACATTTTAACATCTAAATCCAAATTGTTCCAAAGTTTTGGGGCACAGATGGAAAAGGCCCTTTCACCCAACATTGTTCTGGACCTAGGCATGCAGAGCTGATGGTCATTTGAAGATCTTAAATTACGAGATGGTGCGTACATTTCCATAAGTTCTGAAAGGGGGTGAGCACCGATGTAAAGATCTATAAACCATGCACAAAATGTTTAATTCAATGCGCTCTCTCACTGACAACCAATTCGAGAGTTATCAAAGCAAATCATGGGGCATGGTCTGAAATTTTTCTCAAAGTACAAATATAAATGAACAGTAATATAAATAATAATAATCTTTCTTTTTTTTGAAATACTGAAAGTTTCAAAGACATTTTCGTAGTAGAAGTATTTCTAAAATGTGAAGAATATAACCCCGGGGGTACAAAATTACACAGGGGCGTACGGATAGGGTTTAGAGGGAAGAATTTTTATGAATGAAGGTAAAAATGACCTTCTGCATCTTTCTTTGCTACAGATCAGAAGCCTAGGTCTTTTACTTCTGACTGATGTTTTTATTTGAGGGAACAGGGGATGTTTATTGTCCAAAAAGATGGAACGAAGAATGAAGGAATACAGAGCAGTGATTGGAAGAAGAATGCAGCAAAATAAAGAGAGAAAGAAAGAAAGAAAATTTCAGGTGAAACAAAGAATATAGAAGTCTGGAAGAAAGTGACGAGAAAATGGAAACCGACATTTTGTGCGTGTGTGTGTGTGTGTGTGTGTGTGTGTGTGTGTGTGTGTGTGTGTGTGTGTATGTATGTATGTGTGTGTGTGTGTGTGTGTGTGTGTATGTGTGTATGTGTGTGTATACATGTGTGTATGCATGTGTGTGTGTGTGTGTATATGTATGTGTCTGTGTGTGTATGTGTGTGAATGAGTGTGACTGAGAGTGAATGTGTGTATTAATGTGTATGTGTGTATGTATGTATGTATGTATGTATGTATGTATGTATGTATGTATGTATGTATGTATGTATGTATGTATGTATGTATGTATGTATGTATGTATGTATGTATGTATGTACGTATGTTAGTACGTATGTGTATGTGTGTGTGTGTGTGTGTGTGTGTGTGTGTGTGTGTGTGTGTGTGTGTGTGTGTGTGTGTGTGTGTTTCGTCATTATTTAAGTTTAAAAGGCAAGTAAAAGAACGCAAATCCAAAATCTGTATTTATTAGTGGACAATGGTTATTTTTTTGTGGTATCCTTACTATAATTGTGTCCGTTACAATCATAAAACGACTTAAAAGATCTGTAGATTAATGTCAAAGCATAATGAAAGCGGGGAAGATTATATCTTTATTGAGGAAAAAGCTCTACTCTAGGGGCAACTGTGATCCACGAACCAGACGCTTTTCCTATACCGGCCGAAAGAAATGTTAAGCAACATTTTGCCATCAGCTTGTTGAAGACAAAAGAGTAAATCTGTGGATTTGTTTAAAACGTTGCATCCAACTCCGGTGGCATGTAGTAAAACTTCAAAGCATAAACTAAGCCACTTATTTCCCAGTTAAACAAGGTTCATATCGACCAAGACCATGATTGATTCATTATTTTCACCACCGTAAGTAAAACAAAAGAACTGCCAACTGAACAAGGAATTCGTATTATGTCAAAAATTGTGACTCAAAAATTGGCTCTCAGAAATGCTAAACATTGCATTCAAATACACTGTTTCAACATTTTCCCCCTCTTAGAAGTCTTTTGTGTCTATTAAAGCCAATTATTTTCTTCCGGACCATAATAAGTCAGCTTGGAGCCTAAACAACAACGCTCTCTCCAATGTCAATCTTCTGGATAATCGTCTTGTAAAAATCTGCAACTTCTGGCCTGGGCCAAACCTTAAATTCGGATGTTACATTAATCTGAAGATATCCCGGGGAAGACGGACTATATGTGCCCCAGGCTGCTGCCCCCATAGGCACAGTGTGAGTTGGGTTGCCGGTCTTGGCAAAGTTGGTCCACATTTCTACCACTTGTTTAGAGACAGCAATGTCGGCCATAGAAGGGACAAAGTCTTTGTCGTAGAACGGTTTGTGCTGAATATCTAAGACGAAGCGGATCTCGTCAGCGTGGACAGCAGATATCCACGGAGCCATCTTACTGAAGCTTGGTCTGTGGCTGAACTCGTACAGGTAGTGTCTCTTTTCTGCTGCATGCATGGCTACGTTCTTGAGTTCAAGGATGGTAGGCCCAGTAAAAGAGAAATCACTCGCCATGCCCACAAGTTCTGCTGTACGCGTATGCTCATCGTGTCTGTTTGTGGTGTAAGTTGATTCCAGAATTTCGGAGAGTTGCTTCTCTGTAAGATTCGGAAATTGTACAATAAGATAGCGAATAGAATCAGGTAAAGATACGCTCTTGAAAAGAGGAACAAGACCTCCCATTTCATCAAAGTTAAATCCATTGATTGTTTCCAGATGGTTGAATTCTCCGCGAGCTAAAAGCCTGATTGGTAAGTCAGGCAAAAATCCAAAGGTGCGTTCTACTCTGGGGGCAACTGTGATCCACGAACCAGACGCTTTTCCTATACTGGCCGAAATGTTAAGCAACATTTTGCCATCAGCTTGTTGAAGACAAAAGAGTAAATCTGTGGAATTGTTTAAATCGCTGCATCCAACTCTGGTGCCAATCAGGCGAGCTACCATGCGAGCAGAGACTTTATTCGCAGGGTGCTCAGCTGCCCATGGACTTAAAGACACCCCACTCTGCATGATGGCTCTTTGGAACAGACCCTTTGCTAAGGGAGATAGTATTAAAAGAGAAATACTAGAGGACCCAGCACTTTCGCCGAAAACGGTCACCTGATAAGGGTCACCACCAAATGCCGCGATGTTACCCTTAACCCATTTGAGTGCTGCTATCAGATCCAACATCCCATAGTTCCCCGGCATTGCGTCGTCTTCGGTTGATAAAAACCCTAGCACATCTAGTCGATAATTCACGGAGACCACGACGACACCCTTAGTCGCCAAAGCGCTGACGTCATAGTGAGACGCAGCGCCCACCATATAACCACCACCGTGAATCCAAACCATCACCGGCAGAGGAGCAGGTGTGCTCTTTGTCACTGGGGTGAAAACGTTGAGGTATAAACAGTCTTCACTTGACGGAGTGTACCCATTTCCGAAAGGGTAATTTTCCATATCTACCTGAAGACATTCATCACCAAAAGTTAGGGCGTCTTTCACATCAGTCCACGTTTCAGGGGGCTGCGGGGGCTTGAATCGCAGAGACGCTGTATGATAGATATCGTAGTAAGTGATAGGAACAATGGAAAAGTGGGAGAAGGGACGTGTAGTTTGACACATACCACTGTTGGTCTGCGTGTGTGCGCGCGTGAAGGGGAACTAATGGAATCGGATAGAGAGGGGATGTTAAGGGTTTAAGCGTTTTATTTTGCTTTGTTCTGTTTTCGGAGGGGTTTCCTGTTAATCATGTGTGTCGTGCAAGCGCTAGCGCGCGTGTGTCTGTTTGTTCACACACACACACACACACACACACACACATATATATATATATATATATATATATATATATATATATATATATATATATATATATATATATATATATATATATATATATATATCCAAAGAAACAGTACATAAGGCTTACAATTATATTGTGTTTTTTTGTGTGGATTAGGCAGAGTCAACTGGGCTACTGATTTTTTTAAAAATCCATTACTTTCCCTGAGGTTTGGATATGCCAAAGCACTCGGTTATTTCTCATTGAGGTAAACGTATAGGCTTGTTGATCATTCTGTGCGGGATACAGAGGAAGTAGTATGTCGCAAGTATAATTTATTATCCCTTACAATTCCTGTTTTCAAGAAAAAGCTGAATATACCATTGACCTCCCACGGTATAGGAACCGGAGAGCCTTGTTAAAAACTCATAGCCTTCTATTAAATAATATTTGTCATAAATGAAAATTGATGAATTTACCCTTTTGTGAGAATAAACACTGAAACATACTTACAACTATTACAAGTAAGGCAGTAAGGATGGGGTATTAATTAATTACTTATCTGAGCGGCCAGTCTTTCAATAGTAAAAGAAAACAATTTCTTCACAAGTTTTTGTTTGTAGGAAAAAAAAAGTCTGAACTGAAAAGACAAAATCTCTTCCCGTATGTAAGGGGTCATCATGATACCTGTTATAATTGTATATAATTAATTTAGAATCAATAAAGAGGACAGGGTGAAATACCTGTTGGTGGTTTGGCGTACTGGATGCCTAAAAAGTGAACCACTGGCGTGTTTTCTGTCCCAAATTCCACCTTCCCCCTGACAGTCCCGTAGCTGGTGTTGGCCATGAGGTAGACGTCCTCAATACTCCCGTGTCCTCCTTGTCCTCCCCCGTGAATACCGCTACTGCTCAACATGGACGTGTAGAGAGCCTGGAGTAACCATGCAGCCGCCATCGTGAATGGTGTACTCTTGCGTGCTTCCTACTGTAGATCAACTTACCATTATGGCGTCTGGACTCTTCAGATCCTTTTAAGTTATCAGGACAAGGCCCATTTCCCTTCACCCACACACTTACACACACACACACACACACACACACACACACACACACACACACACACACACACACACACACACACACACACACACACACACACACACAAGAACACAAACACGTAGGTACAACACAAACACACTAGAGCGCGCGCGCACACACACACACACAAGCACTCACACACTCACAAGCAAGCACAGAGAGAGAGAGACACACAGAGAGAGAGAGAGAGAGAGAGAGAGAGAGAGAGAGAGAGAGAGAGAGAGAGAGAGAGAGAGAGAGAGAGAGAGAGAGGGGGGGGAGAGAGAGAGCTACATTCAACTTATCAAACTGTTTACTCCGATTTGCAAGCAAAGACGCATCTGACAGAGAGTGGTTACCCCCAAGATAAGGGCAGCTACATTCTTGCAAATATCTTGGTTGCTTAGTAATTCCACTAGTTACTTCGTACTAATTGCGAAAGTAAAGGAAACATAAGGAAACGATAAAAAATTAATACAAACGAAAGGGTCCTCCGCAGCGGTTAATGTGCTAAGACACATGAACAATATCAAGCGATAATGATGACATTATGGCTTTTTGAATGGTGGTCTGTGGGGAGTATTCTTGTGCAAAATGCTATATCCTTAACATTATTATAATTTCTTGTGTCTGTTTTACGCTTCCGTCAACATAATTTAGACAATGAGGGAGGCAGGACGCTTCAGAACTGTTGCAACAACCAATGCTGAGAGGGATACAATAGGAACAAAGAGATGATAGTCGACGAAATAAACTTCGACACATGGAAAACAAACCCACAACCGTCTTGTGTATGGTGGAGATCCTAAAAGTAACACCATAGACTGGGTTGAAAACGAAGCGCTGTGTTGTAATTTGATCATATGTCACATGTTGATTCAATCCTCTATTTGATGAGCTTAGAAATAAACAGCCTCAAAAACCAGGCGGAGACTTTAATAAGAATAACAGTGATATACATAATATATTAATTTTGATATCATATACTTACGGAATTTCCCCCCCTTGTATCCTATAAGAGTGCAAGCAAAGATTGTTCTATATGAATGGACTGATCCATCCATGCCATGCTCATACCTGTGCCTGAACTGCATACGGGGAACTGCTGCTTTTTCTTTCCTAATCCTTACTATTGTCATTTTTCCTCTACTTCTTTTGTATGTTTGTCACTCTCTTGTGACCCACTATTTCCGGGATACCTTGACAGTCGAAGCAGACTTTATGTTGTTGAAGCTAGAGAGGTGAGCACAGTGAACCTGATTCCCTGTGTGGACTTTTCTGTTGACATCCACCCCTTGGCGCTCATATGACCTTATGCAGTTGCGAGCGCCGTAAAAATTCTACTACAACTACAACTAAAAATATTTTTTAAATCGCTAACTTTGCAATCGTTCACACTATTCGAAACGACTGACTTCCATTCAAATGAACACTAAAAACGGAGTCAAATTTTCTAAGGGTGCTCCCCACCCGTCCCATCTCCGCCACTCCGGTTTTTAGCAAGGGAAGACTGTGACAGAATTTAACTTCTGTACTTTAGAGTTAGAGAGAGACGAATGTGTACCGTTCAAGCGGGGAATATCTGTGTGTTGCAAGCCGTGGACGAATTGTGTTAGGCATTATGCGATGTGATCTGTTAATTTATTTAGTTGTATCATTCTTAATTGGCATAGAGCAGAAAATACAAAATTATTCTTGATAAGGCAACAAGCTATAAAACTGGTCTAAAAATGGATTTAACGAATGATTGAATCAGCAGGTGCACTTGGTGCAGATCCGTCCAATTTCTGAAGAACTGCCCAATAAAAATCAACTACTCTTGGTCTTTGCCACATTTTCTGCTTTGTCTGTGACGTGATAAACAGATAGTTTGGCGTTTCTGGACTGTACGGACTCCACATAGCGCCACCTATGGGGACACTGGATGTTGGGTTACCGGTTTTGGCAAAATTGGTCCACATTTCGATCATTTGCTGGGAAACCAAGATGTCTTCGGAAGTAGGGATGATACCTGCAGAATAAGGCTGGCCTCTCTGTACGTCCAGTACAAAGGCAACCTCCCCTCCATGGGTGGCAGAATTCCATTGAGGATTTGGGCTAAAACTTGACTCATGACTGTATTCATATAGGTAATGCTTTGGGCCGTTTGATGCTGTTTGTGTAACTTTGTTGATTTCAGTTAAAGTCGACGCAACAAAGACAATGTCATTTTGAGCATTCAGTGCCCCATTTAGCATGTTCTTTTCGCTTGATGTGTCTGTGATGTATTCGGATTTCACCAATTCGAATAGTGTAGCTTGATCTAGTTCAGAAAACTGTTTTAGCCATGCGTGAATGGTTTTGTCAACAATTTGTTCTGCAGAGCGAGCAGGTGCTGCTGAGAATGGAACAGCAACACTACTCCTTTCATCCGAATTGAAGCCTCGAATTGTGTTGACATCGTTGAACTGACCTCGGGAGAGTAATGTGATGGGCAGGTCCGGCAAAAAGCCAAAAGTTGTTTCAACTCTGGGACACATTGTCATCCCAGCATCCACTGCTCTGTTCACGCGGTCATACACTCTGAACAACCTGTTTGCGTCCACTCCTTGCAGGCAGGATAAAAGTTTAGATGAGTCGTCCAAATCGCTGCACTCGACAGCTGCTCCAATCAGTCTGGACATAGTCCTTGCCGAGACCCGATTTCCCGCATGTTGAATACCCCAGGGGCTTATGGAAACACCACTCTCCATGATCGCTCTTTGGAACAACCCTTTAGCTAGAGGTGAGAGAGTGAGTAAAGACACACTTCCACTACCTGCTCGTTCTCCGAAAATAGTTATCAAATTTGGGTCACCTCCAAAACCAGCAATATTTTTCCGAACCCATTTTAGAGCAGCAATCTGATCGAGCATCCCGTAATTTCCAGGCATAACGTCATCTTCCGTTGACAAGAATCCGAAAACATTGAGTCTGTAGTTTATTGAAACTACTACAACTCCTTTAGTCGAGAGAGAAATCACGTCATATTGGGAAGCTGCTCCTGCCGTGTAGCCCCCTCCGTGTATCCACACCATAACAGGCTGTGGTGAGCTGGATGCTTTAGGAACTGTGGTAAACACGTTGAGGTACAAACAGTCTTCACTTCTTGATAATACACTTGTATTTCTTATTCGTTGCCAGCATTCGTTTCCAAATTCCATGGCGTCTTTTGTTCCAGACCAAGGAGTTGGCGGCAATGGTGGTTGCAGCCGAAGATGTCCTACAAAATACAAAAAAAGAATAAAGCTTAACCCCCCAAAAAGCAAACCCAAAACAATTGTCACAAAACCGTATTACTAAACTTCATGAAAAAATCACATCTCGAAGACAGGAAGATGTCCCAGCTACAAAAGAGAAAAAAGAATATAACAAAACAAAACAAAACGTAACACAACAATTGTCACTAAATCGTATTACTTTACTTCGTGAAGAAATAGCATCTCGTAGGTAGAGATAATCTCACCATCTCACTTGCAGGAAACAAACTAGAAAACGTTGAAAACCCGACCTACCTTGGGATCGAGCTGGACAGACAGTTCTCATGCAAAAACCATATCTGGAACCTGAAGACGAAGGCCAACAAGAGACTTAACCTTCTCAGACGACTGGCTAGCACTTCATGGGGAGCGGACAAGGATGCACTCAGACAGCTATATGTTGGCTATGTACGCTCAGCCATGGAATATAACCTAACCTTACAGACAATCTGCAGCAAACCAACTCAGAGGTCTCTTGACAAAATTCAAAATCAAGCTGTACGATTTATCTCCGGAGCTTTGAGATCCACTCCAACTGCAGCTTGTGAAATCCACACGAACCTGGAACCCTTGGACTTGCGGAGAGAGGCAGCAGTAGTGGAGATGAATGAGCGCTACAAAAGACTAGAGAAAAACCACCCAAACAGGAAATTAATTGAACAGAGACGACCAAAGAAACGGATTCATGGAAGATCAATAGTTGACACAGCCACTGAACTAGCAGAAAAACACCATCTTCCATGTAACAGAGAAATGCTGAAACCTTTAGGACCAGAACTCCCCCCAAACACTAACATCAAGAATGCCAACATCAAAACCTCCCTCATAAAAGAGACAGTGAAAAAGGAATGTGACCCAGTAGAACTGAAGAGACAACAGCTCTGAAGACAATTGACTCCTACCCTTGTGATTCAATTCATATTTATACAGACGGGTCAGCCTTCAAGGGAACTCTAAACGCAAGCTTTGGGGTAAGAATTGAACATCCTGACAAAACATGTGAAGAGCTATTTGGTGCATGTGGTACTTCTTGTACAAATTACGAGGCTGGGGCAATCGCCATAGAAGCAGCAATCCTCCACCTGACCAACA